GGGGGCTGCAACACCAGAGCCAAGCATCGCGACTTAGCGGACGGAGAGGTAGGAAGGATCGTGCGCCGTCAGAAAACTCTTCCGGGTACTCATGCGCTGCTATACCCGTTGTAGTATGTGGCATCCACTTTGGACATTCATGGGGGTTTCCGAATATAGGGGACCCTAATATAGTACCCTAAATAGTAGGATCCCTATTATAAGGACCCCAAAATAAGGTACCCCCAATTTTCTGAAACTCCCTCATTAAGCCCTGAACACCATAAGGTTCAGTCGCTGGGATTGAAGTGCAAGAGGCCTGGGAGGTTGAGCACTGAGAGGCCTTTCGTTGACTGTTGCAGCCGAGCTGCAACCAGGTCTACCCAGAGACTCCAATACCCCTTAATTAAGGAATATACCTTAAATCATATTAGGGATCCTATTATAATTTAAGGTATATTCCTTCATTAAGGGGTATTGGAGTCTCTGGGTAAGCTGATGCACCAAACCCTCCTCGAAGTGTAGGTGGGTTACACGCCAACACTGTCTGGACGATCATGAATGATCTTGCTAAGTGCTGAGGGCTCCAAATAGTTGCGTTCCAGGTGAGACTACGAAGACAAGCCCCAGACTCTCTAAGCAAACTAGTACACCTTTAACCCTAAACCGGTTCTGTCCGGCCCTAACCCGTTTCGGCTCAGGAAATTTCAGGAAGATTCCAAAGCCTCGCTCTCTCGTTTTGATCAAGCCTCTGTCATACGAGGCCTCCTGCACCCATGGGTTAGCTAAGGCCGGCTGCGGGAGTAATTACTAGAACTCTGGATTTGTGTTCTTACAGCAATGGTGTATTTATGTATATACACGCATGTATACTACTGCTTAGTTTGCATGTGACAAATAATGCTCCATAGACATCACTCTCTCGTCCATAGACAATCATCTGCGCGCCAGTACTGACCCTGAACAAAAATCTGATCCTTAACCCCAAATCCCAAAAGACCCGTGGATGGCCAGGGTGAAGGTGTGGAATGTGGTGGCTTGCTGAAGGCTTTGGGTTCTCAGGGCCTGAAGGAGAGAGCACAGTTCTGAGTGCGTTGGATTGTTCTGTCACGTAGCAGGGCAGGAGTTTCAGATCGTTGGGATACCCATGGGCCCCATAGTAGTTCCTGTTAGGGCTTCATATTCCTAAAGGTAGTCCGCTGCGAAAGGTATCATCTTCAAAAATGTGTGTGTGTGTGTGTCTTATGTGCAACATGTGCCTCTCGTTCGAACCCGAGGAGTTCGATGTAGGACGGCGAGTATGCAAGAAGTCCCAGGAGAGAGTTCTCAGGCACACGGTTTAAACGGCTCTCCTGCAGAACGCATTCTTTATTGCAGCGAGCACCCCGCGCCGCTTGCTGAAACCTATACCCCTCAAACCCTACACTCCCTAAACCCTGTTCAACCCTGAGCCTTTGTTGTTTGAACCTACACGTACGAGGATGCAAACCTACCGATACTTGTGGTCGTAGCTGTCAAGCTCGTCAGAGCGGCAATGACACAAGCACAAGTGATGCCGACAGCGCCACGCACGTCGGACTAAGATGGTTTTGGTGTTTGTCAAGGCGAAGCAGCTTAGAAATCACTTTCTTTCGTTGGGTACTCAGTGACAGAGTACCGACGAAGTAGCAGGGGGATGGCCTGCAAAAGACTCTCGAATGATGACCGGTCTGTCATGCAGGTGTAGCCCGGCCTTATCATCGTGTGTAGACTTGATGTGTCCAGGATGCGTGCTACATATTTTCGTCGCCATGGTGAATTTCCGTAACGGCATACCTGTAACGTCGTATGATTACCAGAGTTGCAGTTGCTTCGAGTTGGAGTGGACTAGCCTTCATCGCCAGCAACTTCTTGTCTTGGACAGGCTCTGGAAGCTGCACATCGGCTAGAGCCAGCTAGTTGGCACAGCAACATGTTAACATCCTGACACACTCAGACGGCCGAAACTGGCATAACCTCGAAACACGGATCTCGAATTTCGACAACCCTGAAAACTGAAAGAAGTTGACCTACACTCTACTTCTACATCTAGGTTTGAAAGAACAAGCCGGCGCGACCTTCACTTCACTTCTACATCTACGTCTGAAAGAACAAGCCGGCGCGGGGCGGTTCCGGGCAGCTGTGTTGCTATCCACGACGGGTGTAGCTTCTCCCATCCGGGCGGAAGGTTCAGGCACTGAAAACCACTACTAGTATTAGTAGTAGCAGCAGGAGTAGTAGCAGGAGTAGTAGCAGTAGTAGTAGTAGTAGTAGTAGCAGTAGTAGTAGTAGTAATGGAAATTGCTAATATTAGCTATGAAATATTCTTAAATACTGTTACTATAACTTTTGTTCTTTTTGGGTATACCCACCAATCCAGGGATTCTCAGAGATTTGGCGCAAGGTTTCATTTTGTTTAGGGTCTTGCGGAGTTTAAAGGTAGGCCTCGGTATTTTTTTTGGGCTTGAGTGTTGGATACTCGGACTGACCCTAAACCCTAAACCCTAAACCCTAAACCCAAATGGAGAGACTCCATCTCGCTCTGAGGTAGCACTGGCCCGGTGTGGCCATGTAGGCGCTGCCATCTTGCACAAAATTACACGCTGAGCTGCTGCAAGCTGCCACAGCACGGCCAGCTGAGAATTACCCTCGCTTTCGCTTTTGCTTATCTGATGACTCTCGGCTGTAATTGGGGCCTGGGGCTTACGACTTAGTTGTACGCGGCTTAGCCCTTACCGTCGTCTGAGGTCCTGGTCGCCTAAGCCTCGGGGAAGAAGCCACCATCAGCTTGCGCAGCTCGAAAACATGCTCGAATTGGGCCCTTCCTCCGCGAACTTGAGCCGCAAGGTTCAGGCTGTTCATGTGCTGAAGAAGCTGCCAAGCTGTCCGATTGATACACTGCTGTGTGGTAGCATGCTACCCGGCGTCTTGGCAGACCTGAACTAACTCTGCTTGTGTGTGTTACCCCAAACCGAAAACATACAAAATACTGAATTCGCAGTCGAAGGCGAAAAACAGTCCCTGGCCCTGATACAACCGCCCCAAACCCTAAAAAACGCAAAGTCTTGGCACCCGAACTTTGACATGCTTGAAGAAGCGAAAACAACCAAGGAACGAACTCTCCGAATACCGAAACCCGAAGCCCAAAGCGAATCCTAAACCCTACGTTGATTTGGATCGATGGAAACACTCAGTTCGGCGCGCAGTAGGGACCGTTCCTACATCTACGCTTTCATTGAGGTCCCACAGTTCGTGTTTTACATGGGGACCTTAACAAAGCAGAGTATGGGCTTGGCGGTATATAGGCTCAATGAGGGAAGATTCTTGCTAGCCAGTTTTTCAGTGCAAAGTATGGCGTGTCACCCGTAATGCTAAGGCGGGCAGTGGCGGGAAGAGGTTTGCAAACCCCAAGCCCTGAACGCGCAAGAAAAAGCTACGACCTCCTAAACTTCTGAAAGCCACTATGCTCTCGAAACCCGGAAATCTGGATTCCTTGTCTCATATACAGCCTTCATCCATAAACCCTTTCCTCTACCCTCATAAATCCAGCCCAAGACCGTTCTATACCCCACAATCCTAAAACCCCTGCAGCTCTGATTCTACACCCCACTCAGACTTGCTCCAGCACGTCATATCAGGAGCTCATGGCACTCCAGCTGAGAACTCATTGTGCATGTGGCGCAGAGGTCCCATAGCAAAAGCCTCCTGAGCATGCATTTGAGATCTCTTCCTCCCCGACAAGTTAAAATGAAGTCACGGGGGGAACTCGACTAAGTTCGACTCGTGGAGGCTCCACCACCAGAGTTCTCGTTTTCCTTGGCTGCGGTGACAGGAGAGAGGGCAGTAGGCCAATTTTAACACGTAAGGGCTTGGTTTTGATGCGATTCCACGTAGTCGCGCCTTCAAGGTGTATCACGTCAGGGTTACATTTCCCATCTAAACCGTCGTCAACTTCAACTTCAACCAAAGCCCTACAGTCCTGCTCGGGCTTTTGAGTTTCAGGGCCATGAGGGATCTAGGTTGGAGAATTTCTGCATGATTCAGGGCTTTGCATTGCTGCTTATCTTGGTTGATAAAGTTTCACCGCTTCCCAATGGAACTGATCACGAAGCACAAGCTCCAGCATGTCACCGGCACCAGTTATTGGACTCAAAGACACCGAAGCAATGCAAGCAAGGGAAGCCTGAAAAGAGTGGACAAATGAGAACATACTGTGACCTGGACCCTAAACCATGCACATTTCTCCCAGTGCTGATGCTTGCTCAACAGTGATTCGCTGCCGGGGCTGCACTCACGGTGAGGGAGTCACAACATGTTGAAAGGCGGATGCCAATTGCATGCCTTCACATCTCCGAACCCCAGCCCTCGCACAATAGAAACCAAAACCTGAAATATGGGTAACACTCGATTCTTTACCCTCAACCCTGGGTCCTGAAGCTGAACTCCCTAAGCCGCCATGAACCCTCCCTAAACCCTAAACCTTGAACCCTCAACCCGAAACCCGCAGCCCCAAATCCTAAACTTAAACCGCAAACTCTGAGTCCTAAGCCTCAAACCGCAAGCCCTCATCCGCCAAAGCCTGAGCCCCAAACCCCCACCGTAAGCCCTCAACTCTAAACCCTAAGCCGCAAACCCTGATCCCTAAAGCACTAAATACCCCAAACTAATATAGTGGCCTTGATAGTTCGAATAGGGTTTTGGGTATTATACTGTAACTCCAATAAGGAACCTCCAAGCTACTGTTGGTAATTCTTATAAGGCCCCTATATTAGACCCCAAACCCAAAGCCCTAAATCCGGGTTTAGGGTCTAGAGCCCTAAACCCAAAACCTTAGCATCCAGTGCCCTAAACCCTAACCCCCAAAAATCCCAACAACTTAGCATCCGGTGCCCTAAACCTGATACTAAACACCGAAATCCCAAAATCCTAAACCCCAAACCC